TAGGGCTGCACGATAAATCGCATGCAATTGTCATGCGCATCTTGTCAGTAAAGCCGGTTTTAGTAGTAAATCTCTATCACATGAGTTCAGATGGAGCGGCATTTACTACACAGAGCCGTAGTTCACTGACAAGCTACGCAATATCGCATTCATAATCGCAGATGAATTGCCTGCGATAATGAACGCGATATTGCGTAGCTTGTCAGTGAACTACGGCTCTGTGTAGTAAATGCCGCTCCATCTGAACGCACGTGATGGAGATTTACAACTAATCACAGAACCGGCTTTACTGAAGAAATGCGCATGACAATTGCATGCGATTTATCGTGCAGCCCTAATTATTTCAACTTAGTTTTTAAATAATCATGTAAGAAGTGGTATTCATGATGAAAAACTCCACTAATCAAAGAATCACAGTGAGCGAATCACACCAAAAGAACTTTATTGCGCCCAACGACTCGCATGAAAATATGTTGTTTATAATCAAAAACTGTAAATCAGTAGTTTTATTTGTCCATTGTTATTAATTTATGTAATTTACAGTGCTTAATGTGTTCATAATTATTTACTTCATTAAAGCCCTCTTGTACCTAAAAAGTGCACTGTCTTGTATCTTTTTTATCTCTTTAATGAAGAAAGTCGAATTAAACAAAAAATGCCCTATGTGAAAAATAGTTCAGTAACCAAAGCCATTGAAAAAGTGGTCAGCACTGTTGCACTATTGATTTTTATAAAATGGCAGCAACAGTAGTATTACATATTCGAGAACATGTTCAATATATTATTAATAATAATCAGAATAAACTAGGGATGCACGATATTGGATTTTGCCGATATCCGATATGCCGATAATTTTCAACTCATTTTGGCCAATAGCCGATACCGATACCTATATATAATTATTTTTAATTTTGGTTAGTTTTTAATAAGAACTTATTTGTTAGAATTAAATAAACAATAATAAAGTTCTTTTATAATGACAGTAAATTTAAGATATGAAAATAACTATAAATAAAATATATATTAATTATTAATTAATTAATTAATTATTATTAGCTTCTGACCTTTCAATCAAAACATACTCATGATTTACTGTTTACTCTATCACACACCGAACGCATCATTCTGTAAGTGCATTCTCAGTTTAAATGCAGCGATCCAAAGCAATGAATCCAATCACCATTCAGGCAAAACTTTGCTTCAAGAATGAGCCACAATGCTGACGTGATCTAATTGCTAGCACACCCTGAGCACATGTGAGTTAATGTATTCCTCTTATCGGCAATACATATCGGCATAATTTTTCATATCGGGCCGATGCCGATATTTACATTAAAGCCATTATTGTCCGATTCCGATATTGGTCCCATAATATCGTGCATCCCTAGAATAAACAATTCTTCCATCAAGTAACATAGTTTATTACATTAACTGTAGGCTGTTTGTTTGCCAAAAAACTTATTGCAACTCTGCACATTAATAAGCAGAAGTGTGTTTTTCCCAACAGTCTAACACACAGAACAAAAATTAGGCAGTGTATTGTATTGTTATTAGCCGAATTACAGTGACCGATAAACTACACCAAAATACTGAAGAGTTTGGTTAGATGTACAGCCTTTAAAGTCAGCTATGGATATGGCAAACATTTTCTCTTCCTTTTTTAAAAGTTGTTTATTTTGCTATCACAAGCTGAAAAATAAAACCAAAGTTTTTTTTTTAGATAATGTAATCCTGTTAAAATTGATTTCATAAAATTGGTATCGAAAAAAGTATCGTTCAGGAACCGGTATCGAAGTCAAGGTATCGGTATCGATATCGAAAAATTT